ATAAAAAAAAAAAAAAACGCAGTTGTCCTAATATTTGGATAATTTAAAAGCCCTCAGCAGCTAGGGAATTAAGAAAAATAGCTCCACGTAGGCTGGATCATTTAGCATCTGGTTTGAAAAGTCACAGGCCGGGAAAGAGGTCCCAGAATGTGATGAAAATATGATAAGAAAGGTTTTCAAAGAAAGAAACATGATCCTAGTGAGTGCCATGTGGAATTGGGGAACAACACAAATAGTAAAAACAGGTGTTAGGAGACCTGAATCCAAGACTAAGCTTAGCCACCTATTAGATGTGTGACCTTGCCCAGGCCACCTAACCTCTCTGACCTCATCTCAACAGTGAAGTTAAAATAATAATACTTGCGTATGTACCTCACTGGGCTCTTTAGCAGTCACAAGGGAGGCCAGATAGGACTGCGGTATAAGGCTGCAGGCACATCTCAGCTCCACCACTTAATGGCTGCATGACTTGGGTGAATCTTAGATCCCTCTAAATGTCGATGTCTTCATCTGCAGGGATGCTAACACCTGCCTCGGCTGGTAGTTGTGAGGACTTCATGTGGTAGAGTAAATCACAGTTATCTTGCCTTTGGCATAGACAGTACTCAGTAATCAGTGATTTTTATCATTCACATGATATGTTTGCAAATTGTTCAGTGCATAAAAGTGAAAGATAATTGTGATATTTAGTGTGATATGACTTAACTGGGTAATAGGATAAATATTACAATAAAAACATAAGCAGGAAAAATAGAATGGAAGTGGTATAGCAAACTGTCCATCATTATAATGAAGGAACTTTGTAGATAAGGATGTGTGAGGACTTAAAGTCTCACAAAATTAGCTCATGTTGGCTTAGCTAAGAGATGGTCATATAGATCTTTTTTAAGAATGAAAAGCCCTAGCAATGATCAATGGTCTATGTCTGATTGGGATAAGGTATCTAGTGAGTGACTGTGAGAATCAGCGATAATTCAGGTCTTATCTAAGATCTCCAGAGTCATTGAGAGCAAGAGTAATTGGTACGTTAATGAAATCTGTAAAGACACTCAGCAAACCTCCAAGGGAGCCTCTTTGGAATTGGAGAAAATCAGCCCAGGAATACCGAAAATAATGTGAAAGGGCCTCAAAAGTCCACTTGCTCATTCAGAAAATATTCCACCCCAATTCTATGCCAGAGCCTTGTTAGGCACTGAGTATTCAGTATGAAAAGCACCATTCCTTTCCTCACCAGCTCACAGCCCAGAGAGGGGTACAGGGTAAGTCCTACCATTCAATGAGGTGGTTGAGGGAAGTTTTGGGAACAAGAGAGCCCATAGTTGGGGCTGCTAACCCAAGGCTCAGAGAAGGTTCCCCGGAGGGGACAACAAAAGAGCAGGCTTGGCAGGGACCCAGAACAGTTGACCCACAGAGGAGGAAGACTGACTGTGCTCCAGGTGGAGGGAGCACCACTCACAGTGACCCGGATCACACAGGGGCAAAAGGCACCCTCGAGTTCTGGGAATCCTTTGTGATGTCAACAGATGTCTATGGCCCTCCCACATTATAGTAATTGTCCCTTTAATAATCTCTTGCTTGATAAAAGCACATGATGCCCCCTTCTTCCCAAAATACCTATTAGGAATTTGACAACAGTTTTAAATGAACTCATCTCTTATCCCAACAGTGTCTACAGGCATTTGCATTTGAAAAATATTTACTGTTCTTTTAAATGAACTAGTGTATTTTATTCCCAACAGGATCTACTGACATTTTCATTTGAGAAAGATCCACCTCATTTATGTACAAAGCTTAACTGTTTTTCATCAGGAACAGTCTGTTCATGCATGCACTGATGATGTCCTTACAATAAGTGCCAGCTCAGCCCAAACCCCCCGAGGTCTGTGATCTACAGTTAGCCCTGGAGTAAGGGGCAGCGGCAGCATCTGAAACTGGGGAGGTGGCCAGAGCTCGGCTTCATCATCCGGATTAAGGGAAGGGATGGCGTTGTTGGAGAGTTTGAAGCATGGACAGCCGCAGATGGCTTTCTCAGCAATGTGGCCGGCATGGGGGATGAAGGCAAGGCCAGAGGCCAGAGACAGGTCACGGGGGATATTCTGAACTAAATAATAGCACTAAAGAAACAGAAAGAAGCAGATTTGAAAAATATTAAAAGGTAGAATTGGTTGGATTTAGCAACTTCCCAGGTGGCTCAATGGTAAAGAATCCTCCTGCAATGCTAGAGACACAGGTGACGCAGGTTTGATCCCTGGGTCAGGAAGATCCCCTAGAGGAGGAAATGGCAACCCACTCCAGTGTTCTTGCCTGGAAAATTCCATGGACAGAGGAACCTGGTGGGTTATAGTTCACAACGTTGCAAAGAGTCTAACACAACTTAGCAACTGAGCATGCATGCAGCAACTCCAGACCTGGGACCTGGAAGAGAAGACCCAGATGACTCTCAGCTTTCTGGCTTAGGTAATCCGATAGATGGTAGGACCAGCCCAGAGATTACAAAGTCAGTAATTTGAGGAGATCTTGATTTTGGACGCAATGACTTTTGAAGTTCCTTTGGGACAGTTAAGCAGAGATAAGTAAATCCGAAGAAAGATGCAGGCTTCAGATACAGATTTGGGTAGCATCAGTGTGCAGATAGTAATTCAAGTCCTGTGTGTGGGTAACAGTATCCAGTGAAAATATGTAATATGGAAAGCAGAGAGGTCCAAGGACCAAGCGCCAGGAACCCCAGCGTCTGAGAAGCAGGTGTAAGGGAATAGTCCCCCTGAAAAGGAAATGACATGCAAAAATGAAGGAGAAAAACAGGAAGAGGGAGACACACAGACAGACAGGCTGCTACCATGAGAGCCAAGTGAAGAGAGTTTTAGGAGAGGAGCCATGAAACTCGCCGTGTCACAGTACAAGGACCAAAAAGTTCACCTACCCGGCATGACAATGAAAAGAATAACAGCAGAAAACACTGTCTCCCACTTAATGGCTCACTATGCTTTCAAAGCCCTTTGACATTTATATTTCATTTCAATTCGTTCTACAGCCCATACAGCCTGTCTTCTCACAGATGCAAAACCGCAGGAAGTGTGATGCAGAGATTTGCCACCGCCATCTAGGAAGTTAGTGGTCAGCTCCTGGAGTTAGAGATCAGTCCAGAATCTAGGTCATGCTCCCTGGTTCTGCTCACACCTGAGTCAGCTTTTTAACCAACCAATAAACCTGGTGGCTCAGACAGTAAAGAATACGCTGTCTTCACCAGAGAGGGTTATAGAAAGTTCTTGCATTCTGATGAGGTCAACACTGCCCTTTATATCTCGATTCTCACACCCCTGCATCTTCCAGATGCAAGCCTGGCTCTTCATGCAGGAGATCCCTGTTTGTTCATTCATTCCTCAGTCATACCAACAAGAGAGGGGGGCTGCCCCTGGCCCATCAGATCTGGACCAGAACTGGTCCATATCAGGCTGGGCCTGGAGCTGCCACTCTGCCCAGCTCTTCCTGGGAGCAATTTACATTGCACTTACCTCAGGGAGTTCACGGCTCTACTGAGCAGGGGGTCTGATCATGAATCTCTAAACCCATCTGTCGGTTCAGAGCACAGAAGGAATGCTAGACCAAGACCTCGTATCAGTTTCTACAGTTTTACTCTCTTCACAGCTCAGATGATACAACTGCAATATCACCACACTGGAGGCTGGGCAAGGCCCAAAGACAGTCGACACTATCATGTTGATTTTCTAAAAGTCACTTGCAGCCTTTATTTACAGCTAGTGGCCTGGTTCTGGCCTTTTCTACTTACCCAAAGAGCTGAGCTTCAGTCTGGGTGCATGGCTTCCCAAGTCACATCAGAAACAGCTGGGAGCTTGTCTGGATTCTGTACCACAGACCCCAGATGGGTGATGAGCCATCTCCCTTTGCTGTCTAAGTCCTTCTCAGGGCCGAGGATGGCTGACACACAGGAGGGATGAAAGCAAACAGGATAGGTGAACTGGGTGCCTGCTTTATCACTTACTTCATGGTGTCCCTAAAGTGGAAACATCCTTTAAATATTAGACATGGAAACTCATGCTCGGATTAGAGGAAGGTAGGTGGTTACGTAGCCACTGTCCTCCTTTAGAACTGCCGGAGACAAGTGGCACAATGTCAGTTCTCTCATCTCTCAAGTAAACTAATGAAGATGCAGTTAAATAGGAACTTCTGAAGCCATCTTCAGCCTATGTGTTATTTGACACTTCAGGTAGAAGAGTCCAGTTCAGTTCAGTTCAGTTCAGTTCAGTCGCTCAGTCATGTCTGACTCTTTGCGACCCCATGGACTGCATGCAGCACGCCAGGCTTCCCTGTCCATCACCAACTCCCGGAGTTTACTCAAACTCATGTCCATTGAGTCGGTGATGCCATCCAACCATCTCATACTCTGTCATCCCCTTCTCCTCCCACCTTCAATCTTTCCCAGCATCAGGGTCTTTTCAAATGAGTCAGCTCTTCGCATCAGGTGGCCAAAGTACTGGAGTTTGAGCTTCAGCATCAGTTCTTCCAATGAATATTCAGGACTGATTTCTTTTAGGATAGGTTGGTTAGATCTGCTTGCAGTCCAAGGGACTCTCAAGAGACTTCTTCAACACCACCAACTGGACTGCTATTGTGGTTTGAAAACAATGGGCATCAGACACTTCCTCTTCTGCCTCAGAGACTTTGTATTTGCCTGAATAAATGATGCGTCTCTGGAACTGGACTACCTGTGTTCAAATCCTGGCTCCCAGGACTACAAGCTGTATAGCCTTGGGCAAGTCACTTAACCACACTAGGGGGAATGGGACGGGGACCATCTCTTCCTCAGAGCATTGCTGGGGTGTTCGCGTGCGTTGTTTGAGAGGCTGGGCGGAGCTGGTGTCAGTGAGTGGTCACTAGCCGGGCACGGTCAGCGGACAGGGGCAAGCTGGGGCTGCCAGGCTCTGCTGCTGCGGCTTCCTTTCAAGGCAATAACAAGTCCGTGCTGTCTCTCCTCCCCGTAGATCAGTGCAGCTGAACGGCCAGCCCCTGGTGATGGTGGATGATGGGACCCTCCCAGAACTGAAGCCCCGCCCGCTGCGGGCCGGCCGGACATTGGTCATCCCTCCAGTCACCATGGGCTTTTATGTGGTCAAGAACGTCAACGCTTTGGCCTGCCGCTACCGATAAATCCCCTTACACTCACAAGTCACCAGCAGGCCTGCCAGACTACTTTCCACTCTTCTGCCCTAATGGTATCAGTATTTTTTCAGGCATCTTCTGAGCAACCAACCAGTCTCTGCCAGCCCATCCTGCTGGAATCAACACTGGCACGCTCTCAAAGAGACAAATACCCTAGCATGAGCTTAACCCAAGTAGGTCACTCCCACCTACTCCCACCCTGTCCAAGGGAAGAGGTGGACATCACCGGTACCTGTGTTAGCATGAAGGCGTGTGTGTAAAGCTGTGTGCAGCCTTGTACATGCACCATGAGAACAAGCTGACGGTGCATGCCCAGAACAGAGACAACAGCTCCCCACAATCCTGCTCACATAGCAGTGTAGCTACAGACCTTGGCCTGTGGCTGCTGCCCTCAGCAGATGAGGAAGGAGAAAACCCTGTGGACCTTCGGCAGCCCAGTCCTGCCTAACTCCTTTCCTTTGTCTGTTCCCTGCTGTTGCCTTGGGTTTCATATCACCTCTCCTCCCATAGGGGAGCAGGTGGGTGAGTCAGTGCTGGCCTGCTGGGCGAGCTGTTTATGTAATTTCCTGGCTGATGTATGAGTGTGTGCATCTGGGTTTCTGACAGTGGCATCAATCACTAGCTATTCCTCTGGGAAGCGGGTGCTTCTAAAGTAAAATTGCAATCATACTCCAGATTTTGTAAGAAGGTTCTATTCCTTTGTGAATCCAGATTCCCCCAGGGTTGGGACAGGAGTCAGGTAACAGTATTCATTGAGTGGAGAGCAATGTATTAGGCACCACAGAAAGCAATCATCATCTGTCATGTGGCTGCGAGGGAGAGTTTTAGAAAGAGAAAGCACACCCATCCACCAGACACAGACATAGACACACATACACACACACACACACACACATGCCCCAACTGAACAAAGAAAATAGTTAGACCTATCTCAACTTTGAGAGAATATTAAGGGCTTGATAGGGTAAGCCCTTAATGGCTTGGTTGACCAAAACCATCTTTAAAAAATGTACAAATCAAAGGTCATCAGCGCTGTAAGACACAACTGAATCTAACAACTTTCCACTGCTTCCCAAGTGGCTGAGTGCTCTCAAAGGCTTATATTAAGCAGAAAGCTAATGTGCTCATAAAAGATGACCAGGTCCATGCTCTCTAAGACCAGCTTATTTGAGCACTGAAAAACACTTTCAGGTCACCACACTGGGGAAGGGAGATCTGGAGGCTGAGGTCTGGTGGGGAAACTGGAGGAACGGGAAATGGAAGACCCTCTGGGTTGGGCAGTGGGGAGTGGAGTGGTTTAAATTTCAAGATGAGGACCTTCTGTATGGTTCAAGAAGTTTGTGTGGGTCTTTGCAAACAAGTTACAACTGAAATGACTTTCTTTTCTGTGGATGTGATTTTCTTTTGCAGGATAAATGACACAAAGGATTTTTTTTAAGGAGGAGGTATTAGACAATGTTATAGGATTCCAATAGAGAGAGATACAACTTCTGCTGATGTGGAAGGATAGAGATTGAGGAGGGGGCAAGGTGGCTGAGGCCAGAGGCTGCAGAGACTGCCTGAGGAAGAGTTAAGGAGCAGGGCCAAGTCTTCAGAGTGAATGATTAAGGAAGATTAGACAAGAGAGGAGGGAGCAGACTCTCAGCGTGGAGACCTGAAAATTGGGAGAGGCAGTGGAATCAGTTTCAACAAGCTAATTATTAGGTAAGGAGGAACAGCACCAGGAGGTGTGATGTGGGAAAGGGGAGACCGAGGACCAGGCTGGACCCAGTCAGGGCTGGTGGTGGCTGAGTGGTGGCTCAGGGCATCCCACTGATGCTTCAGATGTGGGAGCAGGAGAGAGAGAAGTCCCAACACTGGGGGTAGAAAGGCAGGGAAGAAGCAGCCAAGAAAAGTGAAGGAAAAGGAAAAGAGGAGTAAGAGACAAAGAGGTTGTTTCCCCCAGTTTAAACAACTTGGTGCAAATATCACAGTCTTTTCTTTAATATATACTGGTGCAGGTACAGCTGCAAGCCCTCATAATAACAGGAGTGACCAGAGGTCCCTGTGGGCCAGCCCTGAGCTAGTTTGCTTTACTAACATAGCAGCCCTTCAGGGAAATACTATTCATATCTCCATTTTTCCTGTGAGGCCTGGAGTGGGCCTGTAGCTGCCCAGGGTCACCCAGGGAATGGGTTGCTGAGCTCAGAATAGTCCAGAGCCTGTTCATTTAAGCACCCAGCTCAGTGGCTGCCTGATTCACAGACTTACCTCTTTTCCTTTTCATAGGTTCCACTAAATCAGTACAGCCAGGACCTCTGAAGCTCCACTCAGACACACTTTCTGTAAATAAGTGTTGATTTTTCGCTAAGACTCTAACTGTTGCAGGATACAGGCAGTTTCTGCTTATTTTGTCTTTATATATTAAATATTGCTCCTAAATTTTGGTTTGGGTTTTATTCTTCTTTTTTAATTAATAAAAAGGGAGGAGGGAATCAACAGAGTTTATCTTTGGAGTCCTGCAACTTTGCAACTGCCTCCTGGAAGAAGTATTTGCATAGTTCAAAATATACCAAGAAACTCACTATAACATCACATTCCATAGGGATTTTAGTGCAGGGCATCTGTCCTGGCTTTCTCATTTAGGAGTGAAGGGTAATTACTAAATCACTAGGGATCCTCCTAATAAGGGATTTTCCTACTACACTCACCGCAAAAGACGGATTGTGGCAGAACTCAGCATCACCCTGCACGTTGACAGCTTGCACCCAGCTTGCCAGGCTGGGCCCGAGGACAAAAGAGCTCATCTACCAGCTTCCTCCCATCATTTTTTTCCTTCCCAAACAAGACATGGCCAAGACAGTCTTTTAAGACTTAAGAGCCATTTTATTTTAAACCAAAGAATGGGCTTGCACAAATGCTTATTAGAAAGCATAATAATGTCTAATGAGAAGTTTAGCCCTGCACCCTCCAACATGGCAGAGGGTGTCGGCAGGTTCTGCCTGAGAGGCCTCCCCTGCTACCTGTACCCCAGGCCCCTGTATGTGGGGTGGATGCAGCTGCAGGATTCACTTTGGAGACGCAGTGAGAGCAGCTTCACATCTGAAAACAAAATGGAAAGTGTTTCATTTCCGCAAAAGCCAAGGCGAACCAGGTGGGTCACTCCAACCATAAAAACAATGGGACACAGAAAGACTCTAAGCTTTTGAATTATCAATAGAGCAAACAAAAAAATAATAGAGCTGTGTATTGGAGAAGGCAAGGGAAGAGGGGGCGTAAACACGTCCCTGTCTCCAACCTCAGCACCACTGCCCACTGCTCTTTTCCACTACCTTCTATCCAGTTCCACAGCCTCACCTCTGCCAGCCACTCTATCCCCTATCCAGAGCCCAGGGAAATCCATTGTACTGAAACGGAATTACATTTTGATAGTAGAACACGGTCTTTTCTTAAGAAGTACCAGAATTACAAGTAAGATGGTAAGGAATACTCAAAGCGAGGCAGTTATTATAAAGCCCAAGAGTATTAAAATCACTGCCTCTGAGTTCCACTAGCAGTCTCTGTAACTGCTAGGCCCACTCCTGATGGTGGTGACTAGTTAGGGTGTTTGGAAGGACCAGAGTGGCATAACTAGGACTTGAACCCAGATTGGTCAGAGTCCAAATTCTGCTCTCATTGTACTCTGCTCACTCTTGCTGGACTGGCTGTGGCCAACTTCCTCTCAAAAGGAAGTTAGTTTTTCTCTGCTGCCCACAGCTAGCTCTCTTAAGGTCCTTTGTGTGTCCACCCAGAACACTGGTGGTGACTTCGCCCAGGAGAGTCGATCTCGGGGCGTGGAGGAACTGACCAGTAGATCTGCGGAGTGGTGAGTTGAAGTGTGACCAACCTTGGATGTAGAATTTTGAATCCAGGCTCACCTTGGCTCTCCCGATGTGCACCTCTTCTGTCTTTTCTGGAGAACCGTTTAAAGGGCCATGTCTGCCACTACTACCCACCGCAGGTGATGTCTTGGTATACTGAAGTCGTGGAGGTAAGTGGCAGAGCTAGTCAGCACCTGCACAGGTACTGCCTCTGAGCACTGCTCCTCCTCCCCCACCACCAGAGCTTTGGAAGTTTCTCTTCACCTTCCCAGACTAAATAATAAATGCAGTGACTATAGCCCTCGGAGCAGTATTTGCAAATATCACTGTAAAACAAAAAAAGCCAAAATACACCAAACCAGTGCTTTGGCATCCACTTCCTTCTAAACACCAGAGTAGCCCCAGGAGCCCAGGAAGCTTTAGGGAGGAGCTGAGAAAGTTCCACAGGACTGGGTCGAGGGTGCATCCCACTGTCCTGGGCATCCAGCAGAGAAAAGGGCCTTCTGTACAGACCACATCATGCATGTTATTTTCTAACTACTATTCAAGAAAATATTCTCAGATGCTTTTATACTTGTAAATGTTATATAGTAAATTATACTTTTGGAAGAAGCAAAGAGAAGTCTTAGTTTTATTCAACTGGAAATAACAAAATAAGTGCAGGAACACCTCCCAGGGAAATGTTCTCTGTCTAGGGGATTTGAACAGGGGTTAATATTTTCTTCCAGGGAACAGATTATATTAAGGTTTGTATGAGCCTAGTAATAGCAGAGAGTTTGATTCCACAAGGTAGTTTACATTTTGAGGTGAAGTTTTCTAAGTAATAAAATGTGGCTACTCTAACTTTCTGTTCTCAGGGTCTCAGGGTGTTCTGTGGGGAAAGGGAGGCCGCTATTGTTCACGCTGCACCTTGACCTGAAGACTGATTGCTGATGAACTCAGATATGCTGGGGATCTTTGGTTTCATGCTGTGCTACCTTCTTCCTCTACTTTTTTACCCATAAATATTGCTTCATGCACTCCAAGTGAAAATTCAATTTTATTATTCCAATTAGATGTCATTGACTATGTTAAAGTAACTGTTAGCTGCAAACGGGTAAACCCTAACCTGTCAGAGGCCTAACACAATTAAAGTTTATTTCTTGCTAATAGATCACGTAAAGTTCAGTTGGTGGCGATGGATAAAGTGGGCAGTGTTTCTCTTCTCTGTAGTCCAGATTGATGTAGGCTCTGTCATCTTCACTTGGCCTCCAAGGTCGCTAAATCAGTATGCAGTTGGAAGTCAAGGAAAGAGAGTATGCAGATCATATGAGAGTATTATGAGGGGGTCTCACCTGGCATAAA